TGTGTGTGTGTGTGTGTGTGTGTGTGTGTGTGTGTGTGTGTGTGTGTAAGCAAGTGAGATTAATGAGACTACAAAGTTTACAGAGAGTGAGAAGAAGACAAGTATGTATAATAGTAGCTTCCAAAGCCAAAAGAGTCTAACAGACACAGTGGTGAGGGAAAAGTTAGTATTCAGTACTTCAAACCACATTGTAGTGTAGCTCAGGAGGTAGAGCAGATTGTTCCCTATCTGCTCCAGACTGCATGCCAGATATTATCGGGCAAGATACTAATCCTGAATCAGATAAGATAAAAAAGTGAAGGACTGCTTGAGCCATGTTGTGAAACCAATCCTCCCAATTAATGATAATTAATATCAGCTAGTCTCATTATCAAGGTGTCACACAAGAACTCTCCAGGATATGTCGTAGGCCCACTGGTTTGCATTTAACTTTTTAACAACAGATGTCTCTGTAAATTATGGTAAATCCATTTTTGCAGATGATGACGCATTGTGGATAAGGGGGAAAAATATAGACCATCTCATTAAGAAACTCCAAGAGGGGACAAGTAAAGGGGAATATTTGGGTGTAGAAGGGTATTTAAATTTTCAATTGAGAAAGCTAAAGTCATCCTTTTCCAAATAAAAAAACAAACATGGGGGGAAACAAAGGTTTGTATGAGAAAGGGCTAGAAAGGGTTAATTGTTTGTTTGTTTTTTGGGTATAGTTTTAATAAGAAATTAACCTGAAAAACCCACAGAGGACATTATAGGGAAAAGTAAAATGTCACTTAATTTGAGGTGTTTAGCAGCGTTGACATGGGGTGCGAATTTTGATGTGCTTAAAAATATTAATGTCATATTAATTTGTGTGTCCACACAGATGATAAAGGTTTTGTTCAGGAGATTTTCTCTCTGTACATTACGTTTCTTCAAACAGTTCTTTCTGTAAACGCCACTGAGTAAAATGTATTTCAGTGTTCAGGGAGAGTGTTGAAGTCTTAATCAGATGCTTCTTATTATTGTTTCTGATATATACTAATATTAAAATTACACGCTGTGGCCCACAGCCCCGCACTACTGTCTACAAGGATGTAGACAGATTAAAAATGGCTGACATAGCTGTAACATGAGCTCATCTGAAAGGCACCAAGAAGAATCCAGAGATTTGAAAGTTGCTGCTTTGGATTGTTAGTTTGATCTGAATCAGAATCCAGTGTTTGATGGAAATCTGCTCCTGCTGCACTTCAACACATTAAAGAGAGAGAGATGAAAGAAAAGCTGATGATGAGAGCAGAGAGAGGAAGGTGTACTTAGGTGTTGAAGGGCAGCTTGGCAGACTCCGCCTTTAAATCAGCCAGCACCTGGTGGACTGAGAGGACAACAAAGCACAACATGAGTTGTTTGACTAGTTTCAGTCTGAAATATATCCGACTTCTCCACTGAACAAAGACAGTGCTGCATTTCTTCTCTGTCCAGTCAGTGGCAGAGATGACCATTTGCTAAAAGAAGTGGTATTGTCACATGTCCAGACTCAAAGCTTTACTTGCTGTCTTCGAAAGAGAATCAAGAACTTGTTCCATGAGGGGTGTCCTATGAAAGAAGTTAAACATATTTAGACTTTCAAGTTCAATTTCACTTCATGGGATGAAATGTTTCTCTTAGCCCAAGTAAGTGCTAAATTGTCAAAGTGAAAACCACTCAATAAACACAGAACCAAAACAATTAGACAATGCAAGGTGATAAAATACAAGCAATTTTTTGGAGATTGATTTTCAATCTGAAACCACCAAACAGCTAAAACAGCAGTGTGAGCTTTAAGCTGAGATTCTGGCGTTTCTGGTAAAATACATTCATATTTAAAAATCAATCCTGGATTTTACTGAATCGATATTGTGATATTCAAACTAAAATCAATTTTAAGCTGACAAGTTCACAGCTAACTGAGCTTGTTCACCAGATAACGTTGGGCCTACGAGGACACAGATGAGGAAGCTGACAATAGTCTTTCAGAAAAAGTCTTTTTTATATCTGCTGTTGGGATGTAATAGAAAAGTATATTGGACTTTGTTAAGTTAAAGTTGCTCTGTATTAAAAATGTGAGGAAGAAGAAGCAGATAGCGTACCTGGAGAGCAGGATTGCAGACTTGGAACAATGCACCAGAACAAACAATGTCATTGTTTCACCAACACCAACAAGAACCCAGCAGTGATCTTAAGGTTTGTAAACAGGAAGCTAAATGGATCTCATGTCTTCATGAATATATATGTAACAAATGCAATGTTGGCATAGCCAAGAAAGCCTCAAGAAACTGGGTAAAATTCAAAGCACTGCAAACTAAAACTAAGCTAAATGTAACACTGGAAGATGTGGAAAAATACCAGTGAGCAACATGAACTGGACTATAAACAAGGTGACACGCATCCACACTTAAAGCACACAATTAAAATAAGTGATCTGGAGAAAATAGCTGCATCACTCAGACGATTGCTGAATATAATCAACTCCAACTTAAAACATTTGAATATATGAATCACAATATATCAGGTTTTAAAAACATCTAAGAATTAGGGATGCAGTCTTCAGATCAGGGACTAAAGCAGGCCTCAGACTGCCAAGAACTGACGTCTCCCAAACTCACCTGAAGCATGAAGACTAAGCTGGTGTAATGGAAATCTGAAATAGACTGAGCTACACACAAAAAACCCATTCCCTTTCAGGGCTCTAGAGTGTGATCAATTTTTTCGCATATGCGACTTAATTTCTCAGTGGTGCAACTAAAAGAAAATCGTAGGTCGACCAGCCTTTTTAGTAAAAAAAAAAAAAAGGAAAAGAAAAAAAGTTTTTTTAAAGTCTCAGCAACTCTGAAAAATCTCCATGTGGTCAACAACAAACACACATTATGCCCATATCGTGGTCTAAACCAATTAGAGATGGCACGATACCACTTTTATGTCCGATACCGATATCATAAATTTGGATATCTGCCGATACCGATATGAATCCGATATAGTGTTTTTAATCAACAAAACTGTTTTTTAAATATCTTGCTGCATTTTGTATAAGTTCATACTCAAGTTTAAAACAACAACTACACTAAAGCTATTCTGTTATACCTGTATGCAAAAAAAAATATTTCATAGTTCAGCAATACTGATCAATCTAATAAACTTAAACCTACACCATCCTCCCTATTCTGGTATTTTAAAGAGTACTTAGCATAAATATTAAGCAACCTAACTAATAGGGTTCCAACTCCCAGCAACAACAAAAATAAATAAATAAAAAATAGGGAACCACCCCTCACGCTCCACCTCATGATGCTTAATCGACGTAATCAACCTTAATTTGATGCAGTGTGAAAAAAAATGCACAGAAATCAATTATTTTTCAAGAAATATTAAATAGATTCAACATCTTTCTTCAACAGAATTGCAGACTGCACAGATGGTACCTTCCCAAAGGAAAAAGTACTATAGCTTACTAGGGTATATTAGACTTAACAGTTACTATATACAGTAATGGACTTCTATACATTTTACATCAGATTAAAACTTTGGGTGTAAGATTCAGATAATTATTTATTAAAAGCTAGACATTTTAAATGAGAATAAGAAAGAAAAGTATGTCTTTGTGCCCCCTTTTCCCTGTTAATGCCCTATCGGCCCCCCTGGCTAAACTTTGCTAGATCCGCCCCTGCACAGTTACCAGCCGTCAGCTACGTAGAAAAAGATCCTGGTGTAGAAAGTAATATTAAATAAATTCTAACAACAGCTGATCAAGCTTAAACGTGCTGCTGTTGTTCAGCCGCTGGTTTCCTCTTTCTGGTGCAAAGTGGGCCAAAAACAAACAAGAGACACGGACTCGCGACAGAAAAGCCGATCAGCTGATCGTTAAGCAGTTTCATGATTGAAGTAGCAGCAGGAGAGGCAGTCGCTCCATATATCGCTTGTTAAGCTTAACGCAGGAATGCTTTACAAACATTCAGAGATGGACTTACACACTTGCTTTACTTCTCTCGGGGATAACTTTGTCGGAGATGAAATGCCGGGTTGCTAGCGAAGCTCCAAATGCTATCCAGACCACCGACAGGTCCTGCATGCCACAGCCGCTCTATCACGTGATGCATACTGCTCCGACGTGCTAACGTTCTGAGGTGAGTTACGGCGTGTTG